TGAGTTATAAAAAAGGACTCCATGTGGATCTTTCACCTCTTTGAGTGATGCTGAATGGGAAAGAATGTCATGTTGTGTGTTAACAGTCCTGTATGGTAAATTCCCAGGCACGGGCTTCCTGAGTTGAAAGGGAGAGTGTTTTTCTCTTACCTTTAACAGATCTTACCAAGTTGTCTTCTGATTAGACTGTAGAGATTTCCCTTGCTTTACACAGCAGGACAGGGTCTGTTTTCTCACCTGCTCATAGTACTGGACACCAATGCCATGTGTCTGTGCTGATTGGGAAGGTGAATGTCTTAGGGTTTTACTGCTATCAACAGACACCATGATCAAGGCAGGTCTTATAAGGACAACATTTAATTGAGGCTGGCTTACAGGTTCAGAGGTTCGGTCCATTATCATCAAGGCAGGAGCATGGCGGCATCCAGGCAGGCGTGGTGCAGGAGGAGCTGAGAGTTCTACATCTTCATCTGAAAGATGCTAGCAGAATACTGACTTCCAGGCAGCTGTGGTGAGGGTCTTAAGTCCACACTCACAGTGACACACCAATTCCAACAAGGCCACACCTCCTAATAGTGCCACTCCCTGGGCCAAGCATATAAAAACCATTAAAGTGGACAATGGCAGGCTCTTAATTGGATTTATACTTTTTTTAAATGGCAAAAAGTTAGGAAGTCTTACAAATTTCCACTGGCCATTTCTGTTCATTTTTCTTTCTTTCTTTTATTTTTTTTAAAGTTTGTTTTCATCTATCTATCATTTGCTGGGTTTTCTTCTCAAGGCTGTGTTTATGACATTTCATTTTTCTTTATTTATATTTGAACCTTACATATTTTGCTGTGAAATGCAATACACTATTTTATAATAGCCTACAATATAATAGGTCTCCTTGAGACACCTTCATCCCTGTCATGTCTTGGTGGACACTTTCTACCCAAATGCTCTTCTTTCTCTTTTCCTGATTCTAAGCCCTCCTACCTCCAGTATTTCCCAGTTCACTCTCATACCATATGTGTGCTCTAACCTGCACTCCTTCTCTCCTTTAAAGCCTCTGTTTCCCTCTCATGGTCCTATTCTAGGTTCCTGGTGTCCATATCCTTGGGGATCAGTCCGTAGGCACTGGAGGACAGTGTGTGCGATGATGTTGGTAGAATGGTCTAGACGGCTTCTGGATTTTAGCTCCCTTACTGATCATCTATCTGATTGCTGGTTGATTACTGATTGTTGTCCTATTATGATGACAGACAGAATAGCCACCAGTCTGTCCACTCTGTTCAGCATCTGTCGGGAGGCTGTTTGGTACATACATAATGCATGATGGCTATTCGGTCATGGTGAGCTGAATGGCACTAATCCCAGCTTTGTAAAGTCAAACAGCAAGTCTTTTGATGATTTCTGGGGATCGTCTTATTCAGAAAGGCTGTCTCTACTTGCTAGCACTCTACATTAGTATTTGCTGTGTTTCTGTGTCTATCTTGAAAGTTAGTCCTAAACTGTGCCTCTTCTTGAGGAGCTCTCTTGCCAGCCTTCTTGTTTAGTTCTCTGATCTTCTTCTGGCACTGCCAGTGTCTTCTTTGACTGTCTTGTTCCAATGTATCTTTAAAGACTCCGTTAGGTATCCTAGCTTACCTCCAGATGGTCCTTCTACCATGGCTGCCTTTCACGTCCGACACACTGTAAATATGTAACGTGTGGTGAGATACACAGCAGTAGAAACAGGTCAGGGGACCAGGAAGGCACCAAAGGTGAAGGATGAGGGTCATGGACCCAGATAAGAAAGAGGAAGGAGGGGGACAGAAGGGCAGCCAGGTTATCTGAGGAGTTAATGAACACACCTGCCTCGCTTTTCTGGAGTTCCCAGCAGGAGATCAAAGGGTCCCTGGGACAGTAGGATGAGCCCAGAAAGCAAAGGAGTGAGAGGATCTTGGACTGTTGCCAGGAGCAGTTTGGGGAACTATGTTTTTATCAGCCATGACTGATGGATGGGTTAGGGCTCATTCAATCTCAGTCAAGGTGTGAGTCCATGGCTGGGCTTAGATTCCAGAGGTATTGCTTAAGGGACAGGTAAGGCAAGTACAAGAGGAGCAGGCGCCCTGTGTCCCCCAGACTCTCTGCCAACAGAGATCGGGGAGCAGGAGGCCCCAGGTCAGTCAGCCCAGGTCTGGGAGGGTGCTGTAAGTTGGAACAGGTCACCAAGTCATCATGGCCAGCACTCCCTATAGGCCCACTATGTGCTGAGAGCACATAATGTGTTCCTTCTCTGGCTCTGTCACAGCTGAAGCTGGATTCCTCGGAGTCCCTCTTGTACAAAGTGTGCTGAACTGGGTGGGTGGCTGGCAACTCCCCCACCCCCCCCACCCCGCATGGGCTCAGGAGGAGGCTGGTGAAAGAAGTACTAATCAGGATTCCCAAGGCCAGCAGGAGACATGTGGGCTGGGTGTTGAGCACCAACTGTCCCTCGTGCTGTAGCTCTGGGGAATGACAAATTGAGTGGGACTTGAGCATTCAGTCACTATGTGCCCAGGGGACTGTTGGTGGAGGAGAACCTTGTGAGCCTGGCCATGTGCCACTGTGACCAGATGAGGCCTGGCTGTTACTCTAGGTTTGGTCTAGTAGAAGTAGCTAGAATTTTTGAAATCAGGGAAGGGAGAGAGTTCTGGGGATACCTGAGTCCACCTCAAGGAGCCGCTAAGAGTAGAGCAAGACGTTCACTAACATCAGGGGCCTATGGTTGTGTCTGAGCCATGGTGTCTTCAGTAAGAGCTCGCTGCCTACTGTCGCTGCGTAGACTTCCACTCCTGCCCTGGGAGGTCTCACACAAGGACCTGGCACAGGTGCTTTGTAGGCTGTTTGGCAACAGAGAAGAGATAGGTCAAGTGCCTAATGCCACAAAAGGGATCCTTGGTATGGCTAAGAAAAAGACAGTTGGCATCCATTCCAGGGAAGGGGAGCTTTGTCTTGAGGGTGGAGAGAGTAAAGGCCCTTCATCCTGACATGTCCACTCACTCCAGGTATCATGCCTCCTGGACAGATGCAGCATGATCTCTGACACAAATATGGGTATGTACAAAGACTGACAATGACAGAAGTGCGCACACACACACATGCACATGCACACACGCAGAGACACAGCACATACAGATATGCCTATAGGAACACACACGCACATACACACCAAATGTGGAGACCTCTCTCATCGGAGGTCACACAAACACAACAGGGAACACACCGACTTTCTCCCCAAAGCCCTAGTTCTGGCACAGAGGGCAAAGCTATTCAAATAATGCGGGCTGCCACCCAGTGACCTTGCTCTGTAGTCACGTTGAAAGTCGAGGACTGTGGTTTATTCCCTGCTGCCAGTGACAGCTGTGAGGATCAGGGAAGCCTCGTGTTCTAAACTCAAGACCAGAGTGCTCCAGCATGAGACGTTTTGAAACAATACCCAGACTGACATAAAGTTTAGATAAGTGCCAACAGTTAGCCCACCACAAAACCCTAACCACCAGCTTCTTCTTGTGTCCAGGTGAGCAGCCCCATAACCACTGGAAGTGACAGTTCAGTTTGGCTTGCCTGGTTTCAGTTTACTAACGAAGAGAATGGTGCCTCGTTTCTCTTCAGATCTGTGAAGTGCTACTATGGAAATTCAGGGAAAGAATGTTCTCAAGTACCTCCTTGTGGGGGGTCTGACTCCCAGTGGATACTCTCAACAGAAGGACATCATCCTTCACAATGATGGCACATGGGCCACTGAGATGGAAAAATAATACCATACCAAGTCAAAATAGACTATATTATCCCCAAGAGGAATACGGAGGCTCTGGGAGGGTTGACTTCACAGAGGTCACACAGAGGTCACACATCTGGTGTGTGTCAGTCTCAATCAGAACCCAGGTACTGATACCCTTCAGTCCAGAACCAGTGCAGCCATTATGATGGTCTCAACTTTGGTGAAATTGGGGGAGGTTGGAGGCACTAGGGCATTGGTATGAGGAGAAGTATTGTTTTAGAGAAATACATGATGTGTGTTAATTACCGAGTCCTGTGAAATCACACAACTATGAGATTTTTTTAAATCTAAAATGTAACAATCTTATGATTCAAGCTTTCTGTCCATATTTATTCAGGGAGTCAGGATTGGAGCATGGCGGGGGGGATCTTCAGATGAGCCTGAAGCAGGCAGCACTCCCACAGCACAGAAGTGTTCTGGGCAGTAGGTGCATTTCTTGGGAGGGGGATTCTGGCTGCTGCAGGCAGTCAGCGAAGCTGAGGGCTGAGGAGGATGGAACAGACTGCCTGGCCCTGATGACAAGGGTGATTCCTGAGATCTACTACAAGGCACTAGATTTATATTTATTCTTGGAATAGTACATTGAGATCTTGGAGATGGGGTAGGGGCAGGTGCATATGACTTCAGGAAGATCTCAGGGGGGGCCAGGGAAAGGAAAGGTGTCCTTTTCATGTAGGTCTCTATCCTTATGACCTTTTAGAGCCACCATGCTCAGTAAGGACAAGGGGAATAAAGTAAATAGCTTTCTGCCCAGTGGCCTGGTTGTCAAGAGAAGCTAGAGGGAAATCACCCAGAGACCCCTCTGTTCATTGGAGGATGTATGAGTCCCCTCTGACAGAGAAGAAGTGACTGGGACAGAGGCTGGGATCCTGCTCCAGTCCTGAAGAGAAAGAGTTCTACCAACTATTTCCTCCAGCCATTCTCAGGAAAGTCCTGGTTGAGATGGAGAAGCCAGGCCCAGTGAGATGACAGAAGGGGACATGGCCCACTCCCTTAAGTGCGGAGATGGGACATCATGAGGATCTCCTAAACAAGGATGCAGAAGATGCTGTGACCTGGAGACCGCACAAATCTCAGGGGACAGAGGAAGACGCAGACACCACAAGGAGAGGAATTTGCTAGTTGCATTCAGGCATGGGTGAAACTACCCTGTGTTTAATGTCAGCAAGAAGGGGACACGGCTCTCAGGAGAGAGACTGAGTCCCAAGAGCAGTTAGTTTTTGGGATTTACCACTCTGCCTAAAAAGAGAGGGGCATCATTTTTTGTATCCTGGATGAAGATTAGGAAAGGTCTGTTGAACTGAACATGGCCCATATCAATCGATCCGTCATTTTTAAAGCATAGGCTTTTACCGGGTTTTGACCACTTATCCTCGTGGGTCAGCACGGCCTTACTTACCACCTGTAGGAAGAGAAGCAGAAGCACGTCAGAGGCAGGCAACACCTGCTCTGGCCTAGGGTAAGATCACATGTGGAACCCTCCAATGGCTTGTGTCTACCCTTTATGGTACTGCCCCACTCTCAGCCTGCTCCAAGGTGGTGACTCAAAGCCCCTCCCCCCTCTCTAGCCTTTGCCTGCTTTGGACCATTCCGTTTCATGTTCCTCTCCTGACGCCATCAATCATAGCCTCAGGTGCATTTCACATCGTCACAGTGGGAGGGCCGTTTGTATTTTACGTCCTTTGCACAAGGACCCCCTTTCCATTGTGTAGCGGTGAGCACTTTGGGGACAGGGTTTCTGAAGATGGCCTTGAGTCCAGACAGCAAGGGTGCCCATCCTGCACTACCTTTAATTTCCCTGAACCAGTGATATCTTTGGAAAACTCAATAATGCTTCTGCCTCTTGAGCTGCTCTAAATAACATGCTTCTGCTTCTCTTCCTACAGGTGGTAAGACCGTGCTGACCATCGATAATGTCCTAGGTCAGTGAGCCCAATCCTCTCTGTGTGAATATAGGCAAATTGAACCCCAAGGTTCAGGGAGGCCATTCAGGAGAGCTTCTTTTATTATCTGAAGCCCAAGAATCTCCCTGTTGTAGCTTTGACCTCTGACCCCATCCTCCAGATAAATCCCGAAGGTCCCTCTGGAGGCACTCAGCTTTACCTTGGTCTGTACCCTTTCTGTTTGCTATCCTTAGCCTCATGTCTGACCTGCGCCTCTACCCTATTTGGCTCAGACACAGGAACATCACTGTGAGGTGACTTACCTTTAAGGACTTCTGAAGTGTGTCATTCACGACCACAGAGCTGTTGGCGTCACTGTTGAAAGCATAGGTGATTCCTAGTAGGCTCATCACTGACTCCAAGTCATGGGTCTCAGACAGTGACAGTTCTGGTGCCTCTAAATCAACCATCCTGGGGTGTAGAAAAGAAGGCTTTTCTTTAGTGTGAAAGAATCAATACCTTTGTCCTGGTGGTCCCTAAAATGCCATCTCCTCAGAGAAGCCCTTCATGCAGACTCAGGGTGTTCACATGGAACCATGGTCCTGCAGTGTTTGGTCACCCCTCTTACTCAGCCAGATATTCCCCCAAGACTTGACTCTCAAGAGGGTGGGAGTCAGTGCAGTCAAGTAGAACTGCTAACTAGTGAGGGCCTAGAGTTTACTCGGGCCTGCCTGAGTGTCTCTGTGTTTCATATAGCCCGTGTCACGCTACATGTAGCAAGGCCCAGACTTGTTTACAGAGCACCAAAGCACTGATTTGTGGAGCATGGCTCTAGAGACTCAATAAACCCAATGCAAAAGTGTCAGAAGAATTTAGTCTCTTATAGTCATGCCCTGGGCTCTCTTTCCTGAGGTTTTCCATACAAGTTCCTCCCCTGTTGCCAAACACTTTCCTGGACTGTTCACCTTAACCTCTTACCTTTAATATGGCCAGGGTCTGAGAACCATCTCTATCTTCTTGGCTCAGGCATAATATACATTACATATATGCATAATATACAACTGTGGCCCCTGCTGTGGCCTCTGCATCTCTTTATGGAGTATGTCCATATGGGGTGTGATACCCCAAGGGCAACATGTTCACCTCTTTATATTGAACACTGTGTTTGTCAATAAACCTGGCCTGCATTACAGAAATGAACACGGAGCTTGCTTGGAAGCTCCACGTGTCTGTGGCCCCAGCTTCTGGTCAGTCTTCCAGGGCCTTTGTTATTTAATGATCAGAGGTTGGGTGCCTCTGGGTAGTTCCTGGGACTGGGGATCACCTTAGCGATAATTGTCGTCTCATCCGGCGGAAGTGTGGGTAAGTCAGCTTCTGTTCCACCTTCTTCAACTTCCCTATATCAGGTAAGATGAAGTAGGTTGCGAAGTTGCCTGCAAGCAGAGAATACACCAGCACCGTGCTAGATAGGTCCTCGACTCGGAACAAGTGATTCAAGTCCACTGTATGGATCATCGGTACCTTTGTCGTCATTCCGTATCCTAAGTGGTAGTCATTCACCTTGACGAACCGGCAGCCATAGTCGCTGATAATTTTGGCTGGAGAGGATGAAGAAGGCTGTCAGACAGGGGTGGGCCTAGGTCTGTGTGAATATATCAGAAGAAAAGCACTCAGAGCCTCCTGGATATAACATGGCACTAGAGCTTTGTGAGAGTCACTTGAACTTGGAATGTATGTAGAATCTGGGTATATCCTGGTAGATTCCAAAGGTAAAGCACCTTGGAAAAAAGGTCTAATATTTTATTTTAATATTAAATATTTTTATTTTATTTAAATGTTAAATAAAAATATGTTTATTTAATAGTTCCTCCGGGGATGTTAATGCAAATGAGCAGAGGTCCCTAAGTCACATGTGTAGTCCTTTCTTTTGGAGGCCTCTTATCCTTTGTTGACAATGGTTTAGTCTATATTCAAGGCAAACCTCTATGGTACCTTGAGTCCTTTCCTGAGCTCACAAACACAGTGCATATGCGTGAGCAGCCTCCCTGATACAATAGAAAATGATGACCATTTTGGCCATCAGAGTAGGTAGGTGCTTTGGGAACCTATTCTGAGGTCATCAGAATGCGAAGATCCCTCAGAGACCCTGACCCTATGTTCTCATTGGAAAAGATGGCATCATGGGAAGGGATTGAAGCTGTGGTCTGCTTGCTGTGCCCAGCAGGACTTTGCCCAGGGAAAAGCAAGCTCTGGTGAAGGGGAGAAGCCCTTAGCCTTGACTTCTTCTCCAGGCTATAGACTCTCTGGGGGACAGCTGCTCCTGCCCTTACTAGTTCCAAGCAGGACCTGGTCAGGCTTGGGGGTCAACTTGAGTTGATCAAGTGTATATACTCCACAAAGTTCCATGCAACCTCATTCATTCTTTCATTACCTCAAAGCAGCGGGTTACCTTTGTGAAATGGACAGTCATACCACAAAACAGATAAAATAGCTTGTCCAGTGTAGACAGGAAATGAATGATGGAAGCTGCATTTGAAGCCAATGTTTTCAGACTCCAAAGCTGACCCGCTGTATTGTGCTTACTGTTTCATATCTTAAGGAAACTGCCTTATGTATACCGAGCTATCATTTGTCTTAGAAAATACTACATATTCTCTTGTTTTACTCACACAGGTTTCAAAAGGGCATTTGTATGTAGAATAGAGAATGATCCGTCAAGCCTAGCCTAGGGGTTACTTTAATACATCATCTTCCAAACTTAATGAGGTTGAAAATTGTTGTGCTGTTTAATGGTTGAAAGACTGAAGAAGGGCTGGAGAGATGGCTTAGCGGTTAAGAGCACTGACTGCTCTTCCAGAGGTCCTGAGTTCAAATCCCAGCAACCACATGGTGGCTCACAACCATCTGCAGTGAGATTCGATGCCCTCTTCTGGTGTGTCTGAAGACAGCTACAGTATGCTCATAAATAAAATAAATAAATCTTAAAAAAAAAGACTGAAGAAGAAATATGCATGCATCCTACCCTCCTACATTTTGGGATTCCAAGGAGACAGAACATTGGAATGTGAGCGTCTATTTGGATAAATCCCCTGGAGCCAGTTCAGTCAAGTGATACACCCTTACCATTCAAGGTAATGTAGTTCACCACAGCCAGGAACGTGTTACTCTCCAGATTCTTGACAATGTTTACTATTTCCTTATTGCTTTTCTCCGTCACGTAATTGTTGATCTGTGTCTTGGCACTACTGCTGTCTGTGAAGTTGATGGAGAGAATGTCAGAGTGGTATAGGTCCTTGACCCCTTCCACAAATTTGTCTACTTGTGTCAGACCCTGGTGGATGAACACACTGCTACCACTTTTTTGTGGTGAAAACTCTTCAGGCTTGTGGAGAGCACGGAGCAGATACCGGAAACACTTGTGGATCTCAGCTTCAGGCAAGCCTGTTTTGTTGAGCTTTAGAGCCTCCAGGATGTGTTTGCTTAAGTTACCTTTGGCTCCCAGGGACAGCATTGAGATGGCTGCAATGACTCTAACCGGGGAGAATAGGATATTTCCATTTCCTGACCGTTGGGCCATCTCTTTGAACAAGGTGAGGGAGACATTGCAAATGGTGAGAACCACCTTCCGGCACTGGAAGTGATCAATGCTTGGGTCTTCATAGAGTTCTTCATATAAATATGTCTTGGTTATGGGAAGCAGACAGCACAGGCCTACTAGCAAGAGGAATCCATGGGGAAAAAGGGGTGCCATCATCCTGCAAGATAGAGGAACACAGCCCAGAGTCAGAGCCATGACAACTTCCACTAACCAATGATTGACATGTGTAAAAACAACCACAGTTTCCTATTCCTGTGCTGTGCACCCAACCTGGGCCAGGCACTTTCTATAGCCTCATTATTAAAAGACCCAGTGATACCTCTCAGGGCAAGTCATGTCTTTCTGGTCTGTACTTCCCTGATATATAAAACTACTTTGCCCTCCTGTCCCAGTCCCAGCTGGGGAACTACACAGTTCTCCACTCCTTCATGAGAATATAATAGGCCAGAGGAGTTAAAGAATATGTTTAAGGTTAATGAGCAGGGACTTCAGCAGAGCCAGGTCCCATACCTAGCAGGCTGTCTGGGTCCTACTCCACTCCCATCGACAATAATTCAATGCAAGAGAAACTACCCTGTTTAACAAAAAGCTGTGTCACCAGAATCCATGTGACCTGTAATGAAGATCACTTTCTGAGCTTTGTTTTACAGACAGAAGCATAATGGATTTAGTTGTAGAAATACAGATACGGTTACTGGTACCTGGATATGATCTTGGAGGAAGTCTATAGGTTTAGCAAGCTTCAGCCATCAGGACCAGCCTGAGTGCTGTGAAGTCGGAATCAGAACAGGAGCTTAAATGAGAAAGGGGGTGGAGGGCTTGGAAGGGCAACAGCTCAGTGAGGAATTAATGAGCATATCTTCCCTTGTAGATCAGAAGTTCTTCCCACGTGATCAAGGGCAGTTTGCCCTGGGGCAGATAAAAGAGGCCTAGGGTTCTGGGCTGTCCATAGAGAGTCTTGGGAAACAAACTTCTAAGGGTTGCAGTTTTTTTTTAAAAAACAAAACAAAACATTTTTCTCCTCTTAGAGAGCTGTGCGTGGAGTTGTGTGAGTTTGCGTAACAAGCAAAGGTTGAGGTCTGTGGCTTTGGGTAAAGGGGCCTGGAACTGGGTACCGAAGGATGCCCAAGCTGAGAGGACATTGGGTGTGGAGATGGGGGAGAGGGATAGGACTACCTGAGGTGTTTCCTTAGTCCCCTCCACCCCAGGTAGAGCCACACAAAGATAAGAGATCCAGAGCCAGCCCAGGACCTCCCCAAGGAAGGAAAACCACCAGGTCAGCCCGACCCAGTATTCAGTAGTGGGTATTCTGTGTGCTCAGAGCCCAGAACAAGGTTTTTGTTCTCCTCTAGGTTTTCCCTCAGGAGTTGAATCTCTGCCTCACCTTCCTCTCTGTGGAGGACTTATGAAGGCAGGCAGGAAGGCTGGCAGTGTCCACCCCACGGATTCAGAAGGAGGCCGGTTAAGGACTTACTGAGTAGCGTTTGTGGAGGCAGTAAGAAGTTCATGGGCTGGTCATGCAGCACTGACTACCCCTTAAACTCTCGCCCTCGGGACTTATAGGTACAGCAGAGCGTGGGGGACACTTGGTCCCTATGTGTGTAATGATATTTCATGCTGGAGGAGAGCCTTGGGCAGCTTGTAATCTTGACCAGAAGATAGTGTGCTACAAGTTGCCGTGAGTGACCTAAGTATCTGCTTATCTTTCTCTGAACTGACTTAGTGAAGCAGAACTGTCCAGTGCCAGCCTTTTTGAAAGAAGAGAGTGGGAGTCCTGTGGCTATTGCAGCCTACTTCTGGGAGTTGTTGAGAGGAGGTCATGGGTTCATACGTATGCCTGGCCTTGGTATCTTCAATAATCATTACCTGCCAGAAGTCAGTGAAGGTTCCCACTCCCAGCTTGGGCAGCTGTGTGTACTAGAACCTGTGCAGTATTGCATTCAAGCCCAGTTGTCTAGGACAGACAGGGGATAATAGCCTGGAACTTCAGAAGAGATCTTTGGTGTAGCAGAGAGAGAAACATGCTGACATCCACTCCAAGGAGGATTAGCTTTGCCTTGAGGACAGGGAGGATAAAATCTCTCCATCCTCATGTGTGCATATGACCCGTGTAACTCATACAATACCCTTCCAGATGCATACGTTAACATACACACACAGACTCAGACCCAGATCCAGATGTAAAGCATACATGCGAGTAGCACTTCCTGCCTCTCTAACCTTTACTGTCCTGTGCCTGGCAGGCCTGTGCGGGTTTTGAGGCTGCAGAGGCTGTCATCTGGTAACAGCATGCTCTTCACTCACTCTGTGAAGACACAGTTCTTGGCCTTTTTAGATGAATGGACAATATTCTGTTCGATGCTTGTCTACCTCTTGCTTGTCCAGCCATCATCGATAGACACATGGCTTAGGGGTTTATTTCAACTTGTGTGTACCATGCTGTCCTGAACGGGAGTGTGAACATACCTTTCACCGTCCTCTCATTCCTTCTGGAATAAAGGAGAGATGACATTGCTGGAGCATGTGGTGTATTGGTTGGTTCTGATGATCAGCTCAATTGGACTTTGAAAGCCCTAGGGAATTGGCAAGGCACAGAGAGCTAGTGGTGTGTCTGACGGTTTTTCTAGAGCTGATAGATCATGAGGGCTTTGAGTTCATCTGTGGCCCGATCTGTGAATGGATTCATATGACGCCATTTTGGGGGAAGTGAGAAGCTTCCTGGCTGGAGGAAGCCAGTCACTGGGTGTATGTCCCTAGCAATAATTATAAAACACTTTAGTCCCAGTGAGCTCTCTGTTTATTATTGTGTCTCCTTTTAGGCTAAGAAAGCAAAACCAATCTCATATTTTAAGTTGGTACAGATTTTTGTGTGATGATGTTAAGAAGTTCAAAGTTATATTTTTACAACATCAGGTGTACGTGATTCAAGCCCTCCTGCTGCTGCTGCATTATATTTCATAATAATTAGGGACATGAACTCAAGAAAATATGAGGTGTCCCATGGCATTGCCCCGGGATGAGAAACTAGATGGCTCACGGAGAACCACAAGCCTGTGGACTAAGGAGATCTGGGGAAGGCAATGTTTCCCATCCTTGCATTTGTACCAAACGTGGAATGGAATCACTAAAACAGGCAGTATCTTCATGTTCTATTAAACCTGGTTAGGTATGCTTATGTGTGTTGATAAGGTGTCATATATCCCAAGCTGGCCTTAAACCTAGAGTTTTCTGTGTAGTCTGAAGATGGCTTTGAACTCTTCATCTTCCCAGAGTCATCAACCACGTGCTGTGGCTATGGGTATGAATCACCATGCCCAGTCCAGGTGGTTGCACCCAGTGTATGTCAGGCAAACACTACAAGCTAAGTCATATCTTTTTTAAAAAAAAATTTAAATCCATTCATTGTCCCACTCCTGGTCACCACTTCCCATAATCCTTCCCCCATCTCCTCTCCCTTTCTCCTCTGAGCAGATGGAGACCTCCCTGGGTATCCTCCTACCCTGGCAATCAAGTCTTTGTGAGGTTAGGTACATCCTCTCTCACTGAGACCAGACAAGTCAGATCAGCTAGAAGAACATATCCCATGCACAACCAACAGCTTCAGTTGTTCAGGACCCACATGACGACTGAGTTGCACATGTGCTACATATGTGCAGGGAGGCTAGGTCCAGACCATGTATCTTCTTTGGTTGGTGCTGGGTCATATCTTTAGCCTAGCTTTTATGCTTGTTTTTTTTTTTTTTTTTTTTTTTTAGCATATCCTTAGCTGCCAAATCCTAAAACTGATTGACACTGGCTTGTGATGGATGACAGTGAAACTAAAGGGATTCAGGGGTTCTCCTCAACCTCTGTAAAAAATTTTTTATATATACTGCTAACCTTGGAGTACCGCGTAGCATTAGCAAAGCATCTGAGAAATAGTAAAACAGCAGTGTGGGGAACTGTAACATTGTGGGGTGGCTTTTGAGAGTTCAAAAAGCCTGTGTCAGGCCCAGTCTCACTCTGCCTCCCGTTTGTCCTGCCTGCTGTCATGCTCCTAGCCATGATGATCATGGACCGATCCTGTGAAACTGTAAGCAAGCCCCCAGTTAAATTCTTTCTTTTGTATGTTGCCTTGGACATGGTGTCTCATCACAGCGATAGAACAGTCACTAAGATGTGGTGGGATAATAATATGGCTGGTGGGTGGAGCCAACTATAGTCTACAGGAGGGAACTCTTATTTGGTACTGTAGGTCTCAACAAAAACCTGTGGCTCAGGAGGTCAAGGACCCCAAAGGAGGTTGGTGTCATTGTTTTGTTAAATTTATGTGATGTGTCTGTCAGTTTACCTTCTGAACATATAGTTTATTCCCATGGATTACTGTTACTGGTAGCCTAGGTCAGGAAAGCTTCTTTTTGCAGTGGATGGTGATTACCACACTGAATTACTGCCAGTCAAATTGTTAATGCTAATCCAGCTGCTGTTGCCTCGTGGCCCAATGCTCAGCTCTACACACAAGAAAAGGATCATACCATCTAAGCCTCAGGGATGTTAGGAGAGGAAGCCAAGAAAGGGCTCAGATATTGTATAGCTTCTTCTTCCAGATGGAAACATTTTTCTCATCGAGACAGAGGAACCTCAGAGGCTCAAGAAACAGGATTCACCCAGCCCTTTCCTGAGACCATATAAGCAAGACATTACTGCCCAGATGGGCATCTCTTCACTTGTGTCAGATCAGCCTACAGGTTGTGTGAGGAACTTCAGTCACACCGCTTTCCAGACATCTCATCCATGTTGCTGTGTGAGGCTGCACAGTTCAGTTTCCCTAAAGTCACTCATGCTCCTTTAAATATGCATACACTCAACGGTCTTGTAAAGAACCCCAAACAGAGTCATTCACTCATCCACTCACCAAGCAGGACTTGGATTAAAAAAAAAACTATTTAATTTTATTTTAGTTTGTCATTGCCTTTTCTATCTGGGGTGAGTAGGATTAGGCCCCCTGGAAAAATTCATATAATATGTGAGCTTGAAGTCACCTAGGATGAGAACTTGGTAGAGAAAGTAGAAAGACTGATGCTGAAGTGTTACTGTCTGTGTTAGGATGTGGGATACCCGACTATGCCCATGAACAAAGGGAGGCTGAGGGTTTCATCTTTGATGACAAGTAGGAAGGACCTGTTGAACACCACAGTGAGGACTTCAGGCCACAAAGAGTCGTACATTTCTGGAATTCCTCCTTGGTCATCAATCTTTCTAGTTTCAATTTCCAGCACAGCTTTATGTACAGCCTGGGGCAGGGGGAGAGAAGGAGGAAGGGGAAAGGAAGAGGGAAGGAGAGAGAGAGAGAGAGAGAGAGAGAGAGAGAGAGAGAGAGAGAGAGGTAAAAAACTATGACATACATTCTCACTTTAGGCTGAAGCAAGACTCATGTGGGAGCCATATTCAAGGAGTGCCTCTCTGGGCCATCTCCTCCTGGATAGCCTTACCTTGTCCGTTACCTCCTCTCTCCATGAGCAATCAGAACCTTCCCTGACTTGGCCTGCTTTTTCGTTTTTCTCCATTTCTGACCGCTGTATCTCATACCCTTTGAGGCAACCTGAAACCTCAGAGGGGAAGGACTTCTCTTCCCCACTATATTCTCTGTTTCTCCTTTCAAGTGCATAGATTTTAGTTTATTGAGTCAAAAACTCTGAATGGGACTCTCAGAGTACCCAAACTCACCAAATCTACAGCTCATGGCCAACCACCCTTGCTTTGGGTTTACAGATTTTACAGGAACTGTTGGCTCCCTTGGTTAACTTACTCATAAATTGGACTTTGTGGTTCACTTGTCATTTTGTGGGAGATTCTAGAACATTCTCTGAAATAACTGAGCCTAAGACTCTCCAAATAACTATGAGCCAACCAACGCTCAAGCAGTAGGAGGAGACCTTAGGCAAAGATTGTCAGGGAAACATCTCAGGGAAAAATCATGGTATCACCTGCCTGAGAAGTCATCTCCCAGCTCTGACCTTTAACTCCACCCTGTCTAGCTACCTCCTGAGACCTGGGCCTTGCTCATGTGCCTCCTTAATCCTCAGCCTCATGCCCAAGTTGTGCTCTCTTCATTCCCTTCTGCCCTCCAAACACCTGGAACTACTCATTCTTTAGGTGGTCTCACCTTGGACAGTTTCACAGGAGCATCCGTTGTGACTTTTGACAGGTCAGCCCCGTGGCTGAAGACCTGGGTGATGCCCAGCATCCTCATGATGGTCATCAGGTCATAGGTGGCAGAGATGGTTAATTTGGGGAAATATAAGCTGACAAATCTGTCATAGTGGAAGAAAAGACAAAGTCTCATAGCCTTTCCTGTTCTCCTAGGACCCACCATGTTGGGAAAATGTTTTCTTTCTAATTAATGCTTGTTGTCTCTGACCATAGCAGTAAGTTCCACCTCCTCTGAGAAATCCTCCTGACAGATTCAAGATGCTCACATTTGGAACCACAGCTCATCTCTTTGGTAGCTAGGGATGCTCCTGACAGCAGGAGCTGATACAACGGAGTGATAGCTACTCAGCGAAGAAGAGCAGGGTGACCCTGTACACTGAAGGAGGCCTAGGAACAAAATGTTCTTCAGTTCTGTGACTGGTTCTAATCTCAGCCCTATCTTGTCCTCTGCTCTCTGCTGGGGGGTGGGGTGGGGGTTTCAGGGCCTTAGGGCTGTGCTCAGCCGTGCGGCACCTCTGCCTACACTTGCCTCAGGCTGGTGAAAGGGACAGCAGGGCCTGGGATCACTGATGGAGAACACACTCTGACCTTTTGGCTCTTGGGAACCCAGAAAACCACACTCAAGAGTGACCAAAGAACAGAGCCTCCTACAAATGTGCCCCAGGTATCCACACTTAACCTTTCCTTCTCTAGGGCTCTTCAGCCAAGCTTTGCCCGTGTTCACCATGAGAGGCGTCACACATTCTCTGAGAGAAGTGCCTTTTCAAGGAGAGTCAAAGGCCCAAGAACATCATACTCTGCAGCACATGTCAATTTTTTTTTTTTTAGCAGTCTGTATAATGTTCATTAAGGCAACAGAAATTTAGACAAGTACTCTGGACATAAAGCTTTCAATACCTATTCCTGCCTTAGGGTTTCTTGATCAATGGACTGCATGAGTCCAAGAAGCTTATGGAAATTCTTCCCATGTTCCATTTAGCCTTTCCCTGCCACTATTCTCCTTCAATGTGCTGGTGGCAGTTCTTTGTTGTCCCCAGGACAACTATCTTCTATCGACATTGTCAGACTGACATTCCTTGTACACACTCTGTCCTAGAAATTGTATTAATTAGGAATCTTTGTCTCAGAGTCCATCCTCGTTCATAAACCCCTGCAGTACACATTTGGAAGGCACAGTGTGCATGATGGAAAGGCAATTTCAAACACCAGGGGCATAGAGTTCACAGTGACCATTGCTGGGCTATACAACCTGACCAGCACTGCTTTCAAGAGGTTCTAGGTCTTGAACAGTAGCTGTGACCCAGGGATGAGGTCTACCTGCCATAGCTGGGCTGATGGCCAGTCTTGAGGAGTGACTGACCTCAGAGGACAGGATAGTTTTGAGTAGGTCCACATACTGGGGAATCACCTTGGGTTAATGTGCCTCTCGATGCTATTGAGGTATTCATGGCTCAGGTTTTGTATCAGCTGCTGCATTTTCCCAAGGTCTGGAAGGATGAAGAAGGCCATGGCATTCCCTGCATAGTGCTGTAACAGCACCCAGCTGGACAGACTGCTATCCTTGTGCAGGTAAAATTCACCCAAGCGGTGAACCATGGTCACAAAACGCACCATGCCTGTATCCAGGTGGAACTTTTCTTCCATTACATACTCAGCTTGAATGTTACTGTTCTGGAACCCTGTGGAGAAGGAAGAGGCTATCAGCGACTGGTGGGATCAAAATTTAGCCAAGTGTCAGATCAAGTGGTCCCCTGGCCCCTTGTGACATGCTACCCTCTTAGCCTCAACCTCATCAAGTATAAATAGAATGCTGAGCGTGACTACAAAAATCTGCCCAAGGGACTTTGTGATGATCACCTGAAGCTGTAGAAGATATGGACTACGTTTGTGTTGGACTGATTATTGGAAAATTTGCAATTTCCTTTCTTCCTTCCTTCCTTCCTTCCTTCCTTCCTTCCTTCCTTCCTTCCTT